TGACATAAGTGTTTCCTTCCCTTGCCTCATGTTAGTCATTCCATATCCCCTCAGTTCTGTTTAGTTATGCATAAACAGGCTAGCAGTTCTTGTCTTCACTGTGTAACCTGATTTACATTAGTCAAAATTATGAATAGAAGTGGTGTAGTGCTGGCATTACATGTGGCCACATGGAGATGATGGAAATCATATTGTGACAGCAATTGATAAAATACGCACATTTATATACATTGTCTTTTACAATTTGATATTTATTTAGTAATTTATTTAGTAAACTGTGTGGGGTTTTTACTCAAAACATTATCACTAATCAGTAGGTTGATAGAACAAAAATGGAAGAACAGAAATTGGCTTTGCTATTTAAAACATTGCTTCACTGAAAAATTACTTAAAAGATTTCCAGAGATGGTAGAGCCAGACTAAGAATCTTTTATTTTTCTCTGGGTGACTGAGCTTTTAACAACATTTTCCTTATGGCAAACAGATCTTCCTTTTTTTTTTTTTAGACAAAAATGAATAAACCCACCTCCTTTAAAACTAAATACCCTGAAATTGTAAAGTGTCCTTTTGTTCATATATGAAATGTTCAGAATTTCCATTTAATAGTGTGGGTAAATAATTTACCGCTTTCACTTTTCTTTGTAGACTGGGCTATTTTATTCTACTACGTGGTCTACATTGTGCTTTTGCATACTGAAACTTACTTTCCCTCCTCTGCCCCACTTCACCATGTGGGAAGAAATGACATTTCTTAGTTATCTTATTCATCACTTCTTTACAGATCAAGACACTTTTCTTTGTAAAGCTTAAAGCTTGAGGCAGTGAGCAGTCATGTGACTCAACTGTCCATGGATTAAAGCAGAGTTTAACCCTTACAAGCAAATTTTTATCAAAGTTTCAATCTGTGGTATCCTTTAGCCATGTGTGCTCAAATCTCAGTTACATCACTTCAGTAACTGCAGTATGTTCGGTAAAAATGCAAAAAAAGAAACTGGTAGGATATGTAAAGCAGGATGATGATATCCATCTTTTTTCCTGAATGTTTGAAACAGGTATAGAGAAGTTTTGGTAATACTGATGATGTACCAGATGCTAGGTTGGATTTGTAGATACAGGTGATACCATTTTTTTGGAACAGTTCAGCTGGCACTGCAGCACTCAGTTGCATGAAAGATGGAAACAGCAAACTTCATAATTGAGTACAGTTGAGAACAATTGGCTTATATGAGAAAGGAGATGGTTGGTTCCTGTGGAGCAAAGGTGAGTGTAGGGGGAAACTGTAAGCAGAAGAGAGGTTCCAAGGTGATCATTTGTTTGGGGGAAGTGATAGTTAATTTGTAGCCTGAGGGGAAAAAGAATATCTTTCAATTACAGTCAATTGAAAAAACAGAAATAGCTTAGCTTGACCTTAAAATTCTGTCTCTGGAATTTGAGTTTGGAAGGAAAACAAAGTGGAGCATACCTTAGTGAACAATGTACTTAAGTTTACTTAATTTGTAACTAAGTAAATGTGAGATGAAACTTGTAGTTCATCTATCTGAAGCATCTTTTCCTAGCTTGTGTGCTTTTTTTTTTTGCCGGTAGCCTATTCAACATTACAGTCTTGTGGATTTAGTTTTACTTTACTGTTCTGGTAGATGTATTAAAAGTTGCCATCAAGAACACAATTGACTTGATTTAGTGAATATGTATTTTGCATGTGTGTCACACAGACCCCTGAAGTAGTTTGAAATCAAAGTACTTAATTATTAATGACATATTGTATTATGCATTGTACAGTAATTTTAACTGCTGCTTCCATTTGCAGAATGCCTGTCTTTGGGGCTAGCTAACCATGTGAACCATCTTGCTTTTTAATTTCCAGCTGATGTGGTATTGTTTTGATGCTGCTTCTCAGATTTTATTGGTTTTGGAAGCATTTTCATAGATAATATTGTTACAAAAATTATTTTCTATTACTTTCATCCATTTTCTCCTAGCAGATTTTTAAAATAAATTGCTGATTTCATGTGCCAGATTCTACATCATTGTCTCTGGAATATCTCTCCAATGTTTAATATAAGCGTTTTGAAGAGAAATCTGATACTGTTGTAGCTCATTAGTACCAACTGATCAAAATGCATTTTTGAGGTGTACAGTATAACTTGTGCACTGGCTCAATGATATCTGAAAAAGAAAAAAAGACATAGCATATCAAAGGTAGTGCATTGTTACTTGGGAGGTTATTTCCCACCTTTGAACTCTTATAATACTCAATTTTCTACCTGCTTCCCATGACATCTGTCTCTTGCTAAACGTGTTGCCTTATCTGTAGAAGTCACTCTTGACAGGTGTGGTCTGCCCTGCCCCTAAACACTGTGGAACTATCCCCATAGTTTCTGATGGATAGGCACAAGATGTGCTCATGTGGAGGAGGAAAGGATCAGGCTACAGGTTTGGATGTATTTGACCATTGGGAAATATCTATTTAACTCTAGTAACTGGACCTCAGAGAGACTTGATAGTGGCCTTCCAGTACTGAAGGAGTTCCTCGGGAAAGCTGAGGAGGGACGTTTTATAAGAGCATGTAGCAACAGGGCCAGGGGAGATGGCTTTAAACGGGAAGAGGATGGATTTAGACTAGATATCAAGAAAAAATTCATTACTGTGAGGATGGTGAGACACCAGAGGAGGTTGCCTGAAGAGGGTGTGGATGCTCCTTCCCTTGAGGCATTCAAGGCTAGACTGGATGGAGCTTTGAGCAACCTGGTCTAGTGGGACGTGTCCCTGCCTATAGCAGAGGGGTTGGAACTAGATGATGATCTTAAAGGTTTCTTTCATCTCAAAGCGTTCTGTGATTCTATGAAATGTTGCTCTGTTGTTACTTGAAAAATAAATTAATCCTTTCAAGAGGGTGACAGATGAACAGAGTTGTAACAGTTCACCAGAGTTTTCAATTTAGTTTTTAGGCAAAGTGATTGTGCTGATCCTGATAAAGACTGTAGATGTTCTGGGCTTTGCCTTGCTTTAAAGCATTTTTTATTTCAGTTTTAACACAGTAGCTAAGTATTGTGACTGGTGTATGAAACCAGTATCTTACATGGTATGGTTTGGTAAGAGACTCCTATCTGATATTGGTTTTGATAGCTTGAGGACAAAACATAATGCATAGCAGAAGTGGCATTGTGGGTAGGCTAACCAACTGCAGTTACTGTATGTTTGCTTACTTTTCTGTTTTTTTTAATGACTTGGCTTCTAGGTAGAGACAAATATATTCAATTTGTAGTGCATTACAAATATGTCATAGTTTACTACTAAACTTAAAGCTTGTGTAAGATTTATTAGTATATAAAGCTGATTAGCCTATAATCATATGCTATTTTCATTTGGAATCGGTTTAACTTCTGTGTTTTTGCTTGATTGAGAATACATTGTGGTACTTGGCCTGTAGATCTGATAGTTCAGTGGAAGACAAAATGAACTGTCTGATCTGCTGTTATGTTTGCTGAACAGTTAATGTCTTTTAATTCTGATGATTCTACATATGTGACAATTTTCTACTGTTCTTTATTATATTCTTGCAGACTGTCCAGGTTCAGTGTGTTGCACATCTTTCATTAAGAAATCTTTTATTGTCTGGTCTTATTACACAGACAGTACGCAAAAATGAGATTCTACTTTATCAGTCGTGAATTGTGTTGTAGGTACTAAAAAGTGGTGTACTGTGGTATATGTCCACAAGATGGCAGATGAACATATGTGACCTTCAGCATTTGCTGAATTCTGTTTTCAGACATGAAATGTGAATATTTATGCTAGAAAGCCTCTGTCTGGCTTTTGACTGGCATGTGTTGGAAAGAGAGTGCCCATAAACAGAGTACATAGGCATCTCACTACTGTTTAATGGTAAGGTCTAGTCAGAACTGAACTAACAATGTATGTGAGCACTGAACCACTCTTTTCATTCAACCTAATGCCTTCCAAATAGTATAGTAGACAAAGTTTTGATGAAAAATCAACAAATTTTTTACTTTTTATGAAAGGTATTGTAAAGATAGAAGAACAACTTCCCCACTGTCTTCTGTGCTGAAGAAAACCTTCCAAGCTGATGGGAAAGCCAGCAGACATGGATAAATCTTCAGGATCCCTAGTTCAGTAACTCATTCCCATTTAGGGAACTGCAGAGCCAACCCAATTTATCAGCACAACCTCTGGAAAATCTGCACATGGAGATAACTCTAAAGCACAAGGCAGAGAGAATTCAGTTGTCGTTATCCTTCACACACATTTCAGGTGGCCAGTTGAACAGTGGGAATCCCTACCAGCCTGCTTTTTCCTAGGGAAACCTGGTGTGCTGGGATGAGAAGAGGGAGGAGATACTTGCAGTCTTGCCAGTGTAAGGTCAGGCTAAGGTAGGAATGTGGACCCACATCTGATAGGTGTAAGGTGCTGCTGTTTTTCACAGTGTGCACATAACATGAGAGATATGCTAGATATCTATGATAAGGAGGAGGAGTTTATCTGCTCTTTTTCTGTTAAGGCTGTCTCCTGTCAGTGCTGGGAAGCATTTGGCCTACTTATCTACGTTATTTATACTGTTTACTTCTTTCCTTTCCTAAGTGGCACCATGAAAATAGTTTAGTCAGTTTCTTTGTGATTTTTGGTCAGCTGCTCTTTGGAGCCTAAGCTGCCAAAATACTGCAGCCTGGATTGGTTTAACTGCAGACAAACAGCATTCAATAAGCTGCATGCATTTGTACTGGAATAAAAGCAATGCATAACAACGATTGCAGCTCTCTTTGAAATCTGTCTATAATGCCCGCATTTTAGGCTGTTTGGACATACAGCATCCCTTTTATGATTTTGTACTCAAAAATGCATTTTGAACAACTTGAAAATTTCATTCTTTTAAATTTCCAAGACACTGTTTGTTGATTCATTTTCATAAGTATTTATTAATATAATCTGGAACTTTCTTCAGTTTTTATACTTAAAAAACTGTTTTCTTTGGTTTCTGCTAGGATCAGGCTGACAATGTGTGGCCTTGCTCAGCAGCAGCAGAACAAAGCTCTGCATTCTGGCTGCTTGTCTCACTGGAGGCAGGCAGGTGGTGATGTCCTGTCACCATGCCGACACACAGTCCTCAGGGGGCTCTGGTAAGATGATAGTGGGGAAGGGCATTGAGATGGACTCAGGCTTGTGGGATCTTTTGTATGGGTTGCACTAGGTTACGTGCCTACCCAGTCACGTGAGCATGTGCTGCCTAAATGCAGCAGTCAGAGAGAATACATCACTGCAGACAGCATGCAGCAGCTGCTCACATTTAGCATTTAAAGTCATTGTCTAGATCAGAAGGATGAAAGGACTGTTTTCCACACAGCCTGAGCTTCTGCATTATGTTTACCATAGAATTTCCCCGTGAGGCACTTCAGAAGCATAGATATGTGTATTAAGGTGAGAGCAGGTGAATGGGCAGCAGCTAGTGCAGTGGTTTAAGCGGGATGAAAGGGTTCTGTGGCTGTAAGCATGTCTCTGGACGAAGAGTAGACATGTTAAGGTGGGAAATGTTGATGGGAATAAAGGAGGTAAAATCCTTCAGCTCTGTGACTTCCTTTTGTATATTCCAGGAACTTAGGCAGGTAGAATTAAGAAGCTGGAAGGTACTTAGCACATATGAACTGTCAACTTTCTACTGTGAAAAGAATCTAATAGCATTCTCAGTGATTACACATGGTTTGACTTTGATGTCCTATCTGAAAAATGGGATTGTCTTTGGTTTTGAGAGTGGCTCAGGAAGTGCAATCTTGTGACTTCCCAGTGTTTTCACTCTACCTGCAGAAGGAAGAAAGGGATGCCATCCAAAGGGCCCTGGACATGTTTGAGGAATGGGCCCATGTAAACATGATGAGTTTCAACAAGGTCAAGTGCAAGGTGGTGTACTTAGATTGGAGCAACCCCAGATATGTATACAGACTGGGAGAACTCATTGAGAACAGGCTTGAGGAGAAGGACTTCTGGGGTCCATCCTGATGGATGGAAAACTGGGCATGAGCAAGTGGTGTGATCATGCAGCCCAGAGGGCCAACAGTACCCTGGGTTGCATCAAAAGAGGAATGGCAAGCAGGATGAGGGAGGTGATTTCTTTCCCTGCTCCCATGAGACCCCACCTGGAGTACTGCATTCAGTTCTGGAGCCCCCAACACAAGAAGAATGTTGAGCTGTTGGAGTAGGTCCAGAGAAGGGCCATGAAGATGATTAGAGTGCTGGAGCACTTATCTTATGAAGAAAGGTTGAGGAAGTTGGGCTTGTTTATCCTGGAAAAGAGAAGGCTCTAGGGAGATGACATTGCAGCTCTCCCAGTACTTTCTGGAAGCTTATAAGCATCATAAGACAATTTTAAATGGTCAATAGGACGGTAGAAATAGTTTTAAATTACAACCAGAAAGACTTAGATTAGATATTAGGAGGAATTTTTTTTACTCAGAGGATGGTGAAGCACAGGAACAGCTTGCTCAGAAAGGTTGTGGATGTGCCCCATCCCTGGAGGAGTTCACAGCCAGGTTGGACGGGACCCTCAGCAGCCTGACCTAGGGGGTGGCAGACCTGCCTATGACAGAGTGTTTGGAACTAGATGATCTTTAAGCTCCTTTCAACTCAAGCCATTCTGTGATTATTTTTTTATGATTTTATGCTCCTCTTCTGTGGCATCTCCTGGCCCAGCCTTTTCTGAACTTCTGAGATGGGCTGAGAAGGCAGTAAGAGCTGGCATTGTTACATGCTGCTTGTCACTTCAGTGTCACTGCCCACTGCTAGCACTGCAATGTTTGCAGTAGAGCAGGTAAAATTCTCTGTTGCTGGAACAACTAATGCGTATGGTTAAAAAGAGATAAATAGTACAGACTAAAAACGGATGAAGAACTGTTAGCCCTGAAGAGACAGGGCAAACAAAATGAAAGCTAAAATGAAAGCTAGCCATCTGGTTCAGATGGGATGTTGGTTATTGTTTGTTGTGGTTCATGTGATTGAAACTTTTAAGGATTATGCAGCTATTTCTGTGTCTACAGAGGTGGCAGGGGTGGCCAGCAGGGACAGGGAAGCGATTATCCCCCTCTACTCTGCTCTTGTGAGGCCCCATCTGGAGTACTGTTTCCAGGTCTGGAGTACAAGAAAGTGTTGGAGAGGGTACAGAGGAGAGCCACTAAGATGATCAGGAGACTGGAGCACCTCCCCTATGAAGACAGGCTGAGGGAGCTGGGCTTGTTCAGCCTGGAGAAAAGAAGGCTGTGGGGTGACCTCATTGCAGCCTTTCAGTACCTAAAGGGAGCCTACAGAGGGGAGGGGAATCAACTCTTTGAAAGGGTTGATAATTGCAGGACGAAGGGAGATGGTTTTAAGTTGAGGGAGGGGAGATTTAGGTTTGGACGTCAGGGGGAAATTCTTTACAGAGAGAGTGGTGAGGTACTGGAACAGGCTGCCCAGAGAGGTTGTGCATGCCTCGTCCCTGGAGGTATTCAAGGCCAGATTGGATGGGGCCCTGGGCAGCCTGGTCTAGTATTAAATGGGGAGGTTGGTGGCACTGCACGTGGACTCAGACTGCAGTACATCCAGGGATGCAGTATGTTCATAGGTAGTAGGAAGGTTGTCCTAATTCAGATTTCTTAATGAAGGCAGATGAGTATCATACATGAGGAGAGTAAGGATGGGAAGAAACCCTTACTTTTTAATAGAGAATTAATTGAGAGTACTGGCTAAATAGAAGAAAAGCATCTGATTAGTACTTGCCTGAATTTTTTCACTAAGTTGCTGTAGTGAGTGAATGAGTGTTACCACCTGGATCTCGGCTTCCCAAGGGATTATGCATGCATTTCCAGCAGAGTGCAGCAACAGAAAGTTGCAGACAGTTGTTCATCTTTGTACTTCGCATGCAGCAGTTCCTTCAGTCTGCAGCTTGCTCCTCATAATTTGGAAACTGAAAGCAGCAATGACCTAGAAAATACAGAAATATCATTTTAGTGTAAAATATTTACAATCTTTAGCTTCTGCTAGGCAAATTCTGCAGTATAATGAATTGTGAGCAGCCATGCTGGCAACCTGCTTTTTCTTCTTAAGTTGTCATTTACGTATTCTAACTAAAGTGCAAAATACAGTGTTCTTGTGTATACATACATTGTGTGTATTAAAAGAACTGCTAGAACAGGGAATACAGGCTTGCAAAATCACTTTGAAAAGCTACTTGCTTTTCAAACTTAACAAATTGCCTTGCTTGCTTTATTTACAATTAAATAACATGAATTATCTACCTAGAAAACATTACTACTTCTCAGCAAGTATTCTAAGACTGCTAAAACAATGGCAAGCTTTAGATTTTAGGTACCTGCTACATTTTAGGACTTTTTCTTGTATATCAATCATTAAGAAGTGTAAGGTATCAACATCAGAGTTCTGCTGAACTTAGTTCACAGTATGCAAATTGTTACAATGATGCTGGGTCTGGGAGCTAAGAATTCCTCTACAGAGCTGTCTGCTGGAGTGCCCCTTAAGACTCTGCACCCTGTACATTCCCATGTATGCGCCAAGTTGGGTATTGCTTGGTGTCTTCAGTTGGAACTTAGAATCATAGAATTGCTCAGACTGGGAGGGACATTAAAGATCATCAAGTCCAACCACAACGTAACCATGCTACCCTAATTCTAACAGCCCACCACTAAATCATGTCCCTGAGCACCACTCCAAATGATTTTTAAATGCATCCAGGAATGGGGACTCAACCGCCTCCTTGGGGAGCCTATTCAGTGCTTAACAACCCTTTCTATAAAGAAATTCTTCCTGATATCCGACCTAAACTTACCTTGGCACAACTTGACAGGACAAGTGGAAATGGTCTCACCAGCAAGAAGAGACCAACCCTGCTCTTGCTTTAAGTACCTTTTAGATATTGGAAGAGCAATAAGGTCTCCCCTCAGCCTCTTTTTCCCGGGACTAAACAGCCCCAGTTCCTTCAGTTGTTCCTTGTGGTGCATATTCTCCAAGCCTTTCACCAGCCTTACTGCCCTTCTTTGGATCTGCTCCAGCACCTCAGTGTCCTTTCTGTACTGAGGTGCCCAAAAGTGAACACAGTACTCGAGATGAGGCCTCACCAGTGCCAAGTACAGGGGCAGGACTCCTTCCCTAATCCTGCTCACCATCTCATTTCTGATGGCCAGGATGCCATTGGCCTTCTTGGCCACCTGGGCACACTGCCAGTTCATATTCAGCTGACTGTCCATCAGTACACCAAGGTCACGTTGTGTCAGGCAGCTTTCCAGCCACTCCTCCACAAGCCAGTAGGGTTGCCTGGGGTGGCTGTGACCAAAATGCAGGACCTGACACTTGGCCCTATTGAAATTCATACAGTTTACCTTTGCAACTTGAAAATTTTCACTGGGTATATTAGAAACACAGAGGTGCCTGGGTGAGGGTAACTGGGCAGGTAACTTAAATACCACTGTTGTTTTTGCTCACTTGCTACTGCATAAATTGGATGAACTAGATAATTATTTGTCGTTCAGGAAGGGGGAGAGCATGCTAAATGGAGCAGTTACAGGTTCTTACATCTAAAATATGTAACTGAAAATGTGTGAATTCAGTATTTAAAAATACAGACTAGGGGTTAAGATGTTGCACTATGATGTGATGATGTTAATGGAAACGTAAAAATTATTGCTTGTCCTTGTTTCTGCACAAACTCTGCAACACATGAATTAAGGATGTGCCTGGTGCAGATGGGAGATGTTAGTAACATCCTTTCTACACAGCACACATTCATGAAAGTAGCATATGCTATGCCAGTTTTGTCCCCTGTCACTTTCAGAGTTTTAAAAGAATGTGCTGTTCCCTGGTGCCTGGAGTTGCAGACAGCAAAATCCCATCCAAAGAATAAATGTAACCTATGATATGCATCCCACATGTTAAGATCTGGCTGCCAATTAAAGCTATCATCCTTTTTTCTTCTGTATCTTTCTATGCTTGTGTTTCATTTAATATTAGTTAAAAGCGAATTTATTTAGCTTTGTCATTGCATGCTTTCACATGCTTCTCATCTTCCTCTTATTTGCATGAAGAGGTAGGATGAGGCCTTCAGTGTTCAGTAGAGACAAGAAGCTGTTATCTTTTTCTAGGTCAGTCAATTTCCTTCCTTAGATCAGCGCTGGGATCTCTGAAGTGTATACCAAACTGAGCTTCCTGCAGTTGTAAAACTGGATCTGCCACTGTCATTCCCTGTAACAGAAATGAGAAAAATAGTAATAAGCGTAAATTTTTGTGGCTGTCAGTTCTAGTTTTTCGGGGGGGGAGGGAAGGAACACCTAATAATGCAACCACGTAGAGTTTTTGTATGAAATAATTAGGAAGTATGCGTGTTATCTTTGAATATTGCTGCCTATATATGGCATGTTGCTAAAATGCTTTTTTTGTTTGCTGAGCTGGGTATGACAGCACTAGACTCAGGGGAAAACTAGCATGACCCACTTTGACTTAGGATAGCCAATTTCACTCATTAAGGCTGTACTTTGCTTTGATTTTGCTCTAAGCACATACCTGGGGTGTACCTTCTGATAGCAAACCCAATGTTTTTACATTAGGAGACTGGTGGGTAGGATGTTTGCAGTCCATGTACAGGCTGTAAGAGTTTTAGAATGAAGAGTAAATAATATAATATTGAAATTCTTGTGAGAGGTTTACAGTTTAATTTAAAAGAAAAACTAAAGCAGGAATGCCACCAGTTCAATATAAGGACTAGTAAATTATTTTTGTATTTTTTTGAAATATGTATTTCTGATAAGAACAAAGAATGCCTTTCAGGGATAATACAATTTTTTCCCTTCTTTCCGAATGTAGGTTATGAGAAAAAAAATTACATGGCTTTTATTATACAGGAAATGTACTTGAAGTGCAGAATACTTGGGAACGGATGCCTGCTTTACTGCTATAAATTGTTCATGATACGTCTTTTCTTATATGCATCAAACATAGCACTTGCTGCAGAGATGCATGTGATTTGTCTCCTCTCCTGAGAAATGGTAATTGGCTTCAGTTTACTTAGGCTACTGCAGCACAATTTATTTTCCTAGCTTAGCTGAGGCTCATATTGCAGCATATTTTCTTCTATGAGAGTGAAGTATTTAATTTGTAAAGCAACGGAGAGTGTGCACTGCATTACAAAGACAGAATGCATCTCTGCTCTGTGGTGTTTAGTGGAAACAGATCAAAGTACTTGACCATTCTCCTTATCTTTCCTTGTTAAATTGTACATGAACTAATCATGGTCTTCTAGAAAACATCCATTATAACCAACTTAGTAATCTGACTAATGAACTGTGGTTACTATTTGCTTTCTGTTTATAATTATTTCTGTGGCTTTCTGCCTTGGTCACATGGTGTTACTTCTGTTTTCTAAGTGGATAACAAAACATTATTGAAACAAGCAGCAAATAGCAAACAGTGAAAACATTTTAATTATTTTTCCTGTTAGTTAAGTGATTTTTTTTTTTTCCTGCTTGTATTTCCTTATAGTTTTTCAAAGGTATGTCTCTAGAAGAACTAAAGAGAGAAACGTAATAGTTGCAACAAAGGGCACTTTGTTTGAGAACCGGGGACTTCAGTTGAAATGTATTCACACAATTGTAATGATTCATATAGTGATAATAATGGCATAACATACCACACTGGAGATAAGCCCTCTGAGCAAGGGCTTTATTGATTTTATTACTGTCCAACATAATTTTACCTTCTGAATGATTGGTTAAACAAATACAATACTGTATGCAACTATGAGTTCTAAGTAGTACTGAGTATTCACAGCTTCCATTAATCAATGAGTTAACTTCACAATACTTTTTTTGCCACTGCACCCTTAGCTTTCATCCTTTGATAATACTTCAGTGCAGAACTAGCTTCAGTTAATTCTGCAAGCTCATTACTCTTTTATGACAGTGCACGTGTTAGTACTGCTGCATTAGCTTGTGTGAGGCACTAAGACTTCTGGGAACACTAGCTTGGGAACAGCAATAAGCTGTGCTGTCCTATGAATTAATTTGCATTGTACTGAATAAAGATGTCTCCTTTCTGGGCATCCATGTGGAAATTTTTTAATCTAAAAACTCATTAAAGAAAAGAGCAAGTAATCAGCATACACTACAGGAATGACCAGGCTCAACTGTCAGTATTACTAATACTTTCATTTTGACAGATAAGAGGTTTAATACATAGTGGAAGGCATTATGTCTGCAGTTGTACACCTTAAAGTTCAGCTGTTCATGGACAAGGACTGCTACAGTCATACAACAAGGATTTTGCTAGCCAGAAGGAATCCTTACTTGCTAACTAGAACTGTGGAGAAGACCATAAGCTCGAAGTGGTAGGAATATAAAGCCATATTTGATTGGAATGACCTTTGCTACTATCTGGCCTAGTAGCATGTAGATGGTTCTTTCAAGTATTTTTTCTATTCAGATGCTCTAAAAGCATAGGTGTTTGTGATGTGAGATATAAAATATACAAACTGTCTATTGATTTCTGTGGAAAAAGAAAGAATGGGCAGGAAGAAGTGCAGGATAATTAGGAGGACATACCTGCCTTCAAAGCAAAACAAGCTGTTTTCCAGTCCAAGTTAAAGCAAGACTATAAGTCATTGCTTCTGGCTGAAAGCACTGTCAGTGGTCTCCTGCATAAACTGTGTAGTAATGAAGCAGAGCAAGCAGTCTTGCAGAGTTCTGTAAGAGACTCTAAGTTCATGAACATTCTTACTGTTAATTTTTAATTTCAAATTCATAACATGTCGTCTTTCAATGTATTATATTGTTTTGCCCTTGAAAAACATCAAAACAACCATTTCATTTCATTCAAATGTTATTGCTTAATATCCTACATAGTTACTATTAATATTTTTTAATGTGATCTTTTTATGCTGTCTCCTTGTGTGATCATGTGATTATGGTATTCATTACTTTCTAGAATTATTGGGAGAAAAGGAATCACTGCACAATTAAAACAACTTTTACCTGTTTGAGTTGGGCACTGCGGCTAAATGTTACATGAGACTCACAAAAGAGCTTTGGTGGAAAGCATGTGTACATCTCTATACCTCAAAAACAGTAGGCAACTTTGGTAATAGCAGTATGGCTTATTGAAACAATACCTCAGATACTGAGCAGTGCCTCCACTGTTGGGAAAAGTTCTTGAGGCCTGACTGAAAGGCTTTTGGCAGGGCATGTAGATGTCCTGTGTTATCCTCAAGCAATATGTCAGTGGCAAAGAAGTAGACATAATGGGATGTAGTTAAATTTCTGCTTTTTTCCCTAAACTGTTTTACATGAAAAAAGTTAGTATTTGAAAAATAAGGTAGTTAGGTCGAATGATAAAGAATGTATTGTTATTAGTTACATAGCCAGCTTTTATCTTTCTTTATTCAACAAAAGAACAGAGACAAATACAATAAAAAATGAAATCTTTATTTTTTGGCTCATTTGTTATATTTTTATGTTGTTTATGATGATAACAATTTCCTGCATGCATTTCACCAACACATTACAAGTCAAAAGCATTAGTAAAAGAAATATCATACATTTAATGTTAGCTTGTGTATGAAACGCGAAGTGTCCTGCTGTCCTTGATTATACAAATGTGCCATTTTATTCTTGAGAAATATTGTGGGTCCTATTTGTAGAGGTCTAGTGCAGTGTGATTCAAAAAGAATAAGAGTACTCTATGTAAACAGATACTGTGAAATAGCAAGGATTTCATGAACAATGAGACTATCTGGGAACTTCTGATGTAATCAGAACTGGTAAGTAATTCACACGTTTCCCTAGCACTTTCCTTGCTATGTCCAGTTACCAGATAAACTATTTGGAAACAATAAGCTGGGTTCCAGATTTACACAATTTACTTCACATTGAAATATATGCAAATATAATATTAAAACATGATAGTCTACAATTGCTTCTTATGGTATGACTGCAGTTTGAAATTACTGTGGTTAGAAAGTAAACTGAGTGAATGAGGAAAGAAATATAAGAAACAGTGATCTAAACTTGAAGACACTCTTCTTATATACAAAACTGTTGCCAAATGGTATTCCTTTACAGTATTTATATATGCTAACCACATTTTCAACAGGTTAAACAGTTTGAAATATGGCCTGTACAGTCTGATTCTACACAATATAGTAGCAACTTCAAATTTAAAATGCAAAACTAAAAAAGCTCATCAATACCTGCAAACTATTGCTTAATGATTTGAAAGAATGAGGTCTGGTTGGACAACTTTATTCAACTCACCACTGACATATGGCTTCCTACATTGGAGGCAGTGGAAGGAACAAGATACAGCAGCAAAAGCATTGACGTGCATCAGTGATGCTCTCCAAACTATCTATAATGGCACAGAATACAAAACGTTCTGTTGAGCTTTTGCAAATTACCCACACTGTGGTACGTATCTGATGCAATTCAGTGTGGCAAAGCCATTTAGTTCTATGCTCAAATGTGCATGGTAGTATGCCGTCAGTATTTACATAGCAAAAGATATTTATTGGATGTTGGCCTTAATGAGAGAACACAATAAATAATAATCCAGGAAAAAAAGCTTAAAAACTGTTAAAAAAAACGAAAAAACAAAAAAAACTCCCAGATATATTTTGGTGAAGCTATTTTTTCTAGTGTAGAAACCGTACAATATTTTTTTTAGCTGTGAATATTTTCACACAATAACTTGTTTATGCTTAATGATTTGCATAAAAATAAGTCACTGCAAATTCCTCTAAATTAGAGGAGACTTTCTAGGCACGTTAATCTGGATGTACATAGTCTAGATGCATCCATACATGTAGTTAGGATGCCTCAAATTAAAAAGCAACCCTAAAACATGGAAGTTCTTAAAATCTTTAGGTTTGTGCAATGTCATATTTTTATTTGGGCATGACTGGTAATTGTAACATGCCTATGCAAATCACTTGCATCTGTATGTTATAGAGAATCTGAGAGTAGAACACTTGGTCCTCATACCTCTTTCCCCAACATAAAACCCATTTACAAAAATAGTCACATATAATAGTAAACAACCTGTGAATTAAAAAATGATACACTAATACCAGTTTTGTAAAAATATGACAGATGTAGCCATTGAATTACAAACAGTGAATAGAAGTACTGTTCTACATGTTTTGCAATATGTGAAACACAAAAAACTATAGCTTTGCACGTATTTCAAGCTCCCTGTTCTCTGTGGAGCCACTTTATCCCTCATTCTTAGCAGTGTCAGCTGTAGTGAAAACAGTAACCTCTTGTCAGGTTTGTTACTCTGGTTCACAGAGTCACAGTTTGATGATGAAGGTTTACTGTTTTGTTATAGGCACTGACCTTAAATATATATATAATGTATATATATGCACACACGCGCGCACACACACATATATGTAAAAACTGTCAGTTTGGCATAAACCTCCCGCAGGAGTCCAGTTGACGCTTCATTCTCAAAGACTGTAAACAAGCTGTCCCACAAGCAGAATTCTTACATTTTTACTTTTTATTTTCCCTGACATCTTTACCTTTGTAGTTCTTTTCTGCTTTGTCTTTCTCGTACTTTTCTTTATCTGGCTTTGTTACACTGTCATACGATGGTGGGGAAGTTGTAGAGGAGCTCTCATCTGTTTTCTCTGGGGTGGAGTTCCCATTAAGTTTATCAATAATTGTCTCTTTTATAACAAGTCCATCTCCTTCTTTGTTTTTATTTTTGTTATATATACTAGATACTTTTTTAACCTTTAGCTTTAAAAGGTAACGCCTATAAGCACGTTGAATAATGAGAGCAGATACCTCCTCCTGTTTCCGTTTTA